TGAGAGCATTATTCACTGATTTGATGTCAACCTTAATATGCAGTCAAACATCTTCAACCAATCAATCACCTTGTAAATTCGTCATGATTATCAAAGCCATCTACATCAGGATTTGGCAAATTTGGTTTCTGTGTCAACTTTTCTGTATCATCTTCACCTTCACTGTCTCCTGTGGGTACAACACTGGTTGAGCGCCTTTGCTCCTTTGGTGAGGATCTAAAAAAATTATTAAATCAAAGTATCATTTGGTCACTGGTTTATTCACTGTACAGGGTTGAATGAACAATTTTAACTCAGAGAAGCTTGTGCCCCTATAATATCCAACATCAAAAGGTGGCATTGAGGTTCCAAGACTTATTTTATAGGTCCTAAGTCAAAATTTGATGTTTTCATGTATTATTCAACACAGCTTGCCCCAGATTGTAGTCCACATTGGCTCAGGGAAATGCACTAAATGACCCACCTTTCCAAAAGTCCTTGAATCCCAGACCTTGCTGCACACAAGGAGGCACTCAATGATGCAAACAATCCTGATTTTCTATGAAAATACATTAAACAAAAATTAAATAACAGCATTACAATGCCAGAGTCTATTTCCAATTCTTCCTTTTTTTAAGAAATAAGTTCAGTTACTAGTCACTAACAGTTTCACATATATTTTTTGAGAATTATCAGTTTAAATTTTCTATCTGCAAATAACTTTAAAATGCAATATGAGTAATTTATCTAACCGTTCTGTTTTATCCTTAGCTTTGTTTTCTTTGTTTAGTAGTTGATTTTCGTTAGGTGTTTCATCCTGATCAGACTCGACACTTTCCATCCTATGAGAAAGAAGCTTCCTTTCTTCTGCTTTTGTCTGGCAAAGGGAAAAAAGAATAGTAACTGCAGCAGCTTTTTTTAGACACCACAGTATGCAAAAGGAAAAATGAGCACAGAATGGCATTGAAGGAATGGATTAGGTGGATGGGGGATACCTGTACTGATTTAGGTGGAATCAAAGATGCTTACGACTCAGGAAAAGAAGAATTAAAGCTGGAATTTGCCTGTTAGGATCTGTATCAGCCACAATTCGTCAAGCTTTTAAACCATCTGATTTTGATCATAAAACCCTTATATTACAGTACAGTGTAAAAAGCTTAGTAGTCTTCTGACAACCTGATGGCCAGACAGGAAGGTTCCAGGTTTGACTTATCATGGGAAATCCAGACTATTTTATTTCTCCCATGCTTGTAAAAAATAAACAATATCTCTCTTTATTCAATTAGTTATGGTTTTATCATCCTAACATAGATTAGAATAAATGATTTGGAACACCCTAACAGATAACATATGGGGCCATGGTAGATTTGGAAAAAATAGCTGACCAACATTGTCCAGTATATCTGTTGTAGCTCAATTTTATCCTTGGTTCAAATTGTTTTTGGGTGTTGTAATGTATGATAATGAATTTGAAACAAAGGAAAATAAATTTCGAACCAAGGATAAAATTGATGAACCACAACATACGCATGAATCTATAAAACTGTTGCTTCTAGTCAATCACTTATCCATGAAAGTACACACAATGTGGGGTTCTTCAAAATAAACACGAAGGCATTGAATATTACTAAAAACAAGAATCGTAACATCAGACTTCACAAATACTGCAACAAAGATCTACATTAAATTATCAAAGCCACCAACAAGTAAATTACATCATTTTACAGATCAAAATTATCAACAGCAAATAATTCCTTTTTCCCATTTGGTTTGAGTTCCACAAAGGTCATTGAGTGAAAAATACTAGACATTATATATCTTTTTTTATTGCTCAAATGAACAAAGACATCAACATCTTTTAAGATTGCACAAATGAATAAAGCAGGTAACTTTCTGCTTTGTATTTTTCCCTTTAATCGAGGCAGAATTAGAATCTTTTGGTAATTCAATTTTTCAATATATATTTCATTTCACTATCATGTTTTGTTTTCCATTATTTTCATATTAAAATTTTTACCAGTTTCAAAAAAAATTTTTAACTCATGTAATTTAAACCACTGAAAAGTAAAAACTGACTTGCACCCAAAACATCTCTGAGAGTTTCTTTAATTTCTAGCTATCTACAGTAAGTAGTGAGAAGAAGAAAAAAAAATTGTATTAGCCCACAATAAGGATGAATTAAAATGTTTGAAGAATTCTAATTCATTGATTCAAAATATATCTGAGATATAGAGTCAGATGCTTAACAATCACTATACTGTTTACTATCAAAATAATGTGAAAACTAATTTTAAACAGATTGATCTTGGTAATTCAAAACGGTATGTCTTACAAAAAGAAATTTGATACATGAAGGGAAGAAAACACTAAGGGTTAACGAGTGCTTATCGATAAAAAGGAAACAAAAGGGAGAAAAACACAAAGAAAAACACAAAATGGTTGATTCTTAAATTTAACCCACCAGTCGTGATGACATTGTTTCTTATCAGAAAATGAAGGATCCAATAGTAACTGAAATCTTCTCTCAGTGATTGAGACTATTTTTCAATGGCATATGACAATAATATTCATTATATTGATTCCCAATGGCCCTCACTAGGGAAATATTTTTAACCTTGAGCTCTTTAATGACCGAATCAACTTTAGTGAAAAAAAAAACTCTACATTAGACACATTGTCCACCTGGTCAAAACAAAATATGATTCATATTCAAGCTGATGCATAAATAATTGTTCAGGAGGATAAATATTTTTTCTGACAACTTGACAGACACACTCTATGTAATATGGAGATTTTCATTTGGTAAAAAAGAAATAAAGTTGGCAAATCATGCAATATTTGTTTAAAAGTCACTATGTTTTTGACAAGAAAACAACAAACCAATCAAAATGCAGCAAACTTTACACTTCCATTTGATTAAATGTCAATAATGGCTTACAAGAATTTCCATAACACAGTAGTGACATCTGAATTAACATAATAATGTTTGCTTTAATATTGTACAATCTCTGGGCTGTAATTTTCCTTACATATTGAGTTCATCTTAAAATAATTTTTCTCACATTTTTTGCCAAATGTGAGAAAAAAAAAAATCAAATGTGGGGCCAGTGTGAAATACTTTAACACCCAATTCATTACCTGCAACCATAGGACCAATTTTGTTGATCTTACTGATTCTAAAAAAAAATCACTGTGACAAACAATGTCAGTAATAATTTCATGAATAATTTGGGACAAAACCCACATATTAAAACCACAAATGATTAAAATTGTAGAAGACGACATTCATTCAACAATATTCGGCTTAAAAGCGTGTGTATGTCTTAACATTCCTAGAATTTAAAGGAACAATTACAATAATTCATCCATTTTTGGTGTCCTAAATACTAATCTCCAAACTCACATCCTTGCCTTAAAAAGTTTCCTAGATTGTGTTCTCATATGCACTTCCATTTTCCAGTTTCAAAGTGACTTTAATATTTTTAGTGATTCCATCAATATTCAAAATTTAAAGTAAACATCATCAAAAATTCATTCAAAAATTTATCAAAAATTCATCAAAAATTCATTCATGTCAAGAAAAATTGACAAAAAACAAACGCATACACCTTCGACAAATGACAAGTTGAAAATAGATATCTATATGTAATCTTTGTAAAGTAACTCTGTATCAGCTTGAGAAAAACAAAATCAAAATATTTCCCAGTTTTAATTATAATTATAGTAGAAAGTCTTACTTGGAAGAAAACATTGATGCAAAATGGTCATAAATTTGGAATCGTCCATGAAATTGAACATAGCTACAGCTGTATGAATGGCAATGTGAGCGCATGTTGAAAAAGAAAAATGGTATCACAGTGACTCACTAAAATCTCACATCAGTGGAAAAAGTAGACCCTTGTATTCAAAGGCTCAAAGCCAAAAAAAAAAACTCACAAAGAAAAGGTACATTTTATCGTTTTGCAATTGGTAATGACAACCTTCTTTTGGTTGGTTGCTTTCTTCAATATAATAATCAAACTTAAATTTTCTTTGTGCTTTATTTCAGCATTCAACAGAGGCACAAAATCTCTGTGCTGCTGCCTTCACAGTCAAGCAAAATAAGTTGTAAACAATCTTCAAACATATCTGGTTCATTACAAGAACCACACAGAAGCAAGTCATTCAATCACCAAAACATAAATGTATGTAAGTCTTATCATATGTCTTACAAATTGGAAAAGCCACATGTTTCATTGTGAATTTATGATTCATACTACAAACAGTGTAAACATATTGATAATGATGGAGAACACTTACAGTAAAAATTGTGGGTATTTTATCTTTGTTGGCCACAACTGAAGATATTATTGATCAAAATACAGTTAAAAACTAGAGTCTGTGAAACATATTTTCAGTGGTCTGAAGGTACATGTAATAATATCAATTACTGGCATGTGGGAACCAAACGTAAATATTTTGCAATAAATGGCAATGTGAACAAGATAAAAAGAACTGTTCCATCTGATTAGGAATGCATGAGCTATAATTAATTTCTTAAACATTCCTTTGATGCCAAATGTAACCAAAAACAGTGCAAACTTGCAATGCAACTGAAGAACAAAGCTTTTTTGAGACTCTTCCCAGGAATAGATCATCACAAAGTCCTCATGCAGTCAACATTGGTTTCAAAATTTTCAATTAACCCTATACACCCCAACATAAGTATCCATTTTCTCCATACTGTTCCTTACACATTTCCTTTAGTGCTGATAAGGAGAATTCAGTTCTCAGTAAAAGCTTTTTAGGTTGGTGATCATTTACTTTATTCACATGATCTCAATGAATGACTCAGCAGTATTACTGTGTGGAGAAACTAGATGCTGGCCACTCTTAGGGTTTGAAGGGTTAAAGCTTGGAAAGCTTAGAACAACCATATTTACATGTAATGAGCCCATCAATTCAAAGCTTCCACTCTGTAAGGAAAACTGGGCAAGATGATGACACACAATATTATGTAGGAACTATAGGAACATAAACATGATCACAGCACTTGGAAGAGTGATCAAGCATTTAAAAACATGATTTAGCAAGATTGGAGTTTCTAAAATCAGTTGTTCATCAGAAAAATTTTCTTATTGGATGCAGCAAAGATCTTGGAGAGGATTGTAGACACCTAAGGCTACAGGATATGGCAAGATTTCTCAAGAAGTCATGACACCACATACATGTATCAATTTAAGGTTTGCAGCATTAGTAAGCAATATCAATCATAATTTTAAGATTAAAAATTACAATAATTATTATAATAATAAGAAGTGTTAAGTCACTGTAATGGTTCCAAGTATCAAAAGTACCATACCTGGGTTGTAAAAACATTTCAACACTAATGCAGCAGTAAACCATACCATTAGGCATATTGTGCAAATCAGAGAATTGGAGGTAGTGATAAATTGCAAAGCAAAATTCAGCGTACCAAGGGTAAGTTTCTTGGGAAAATGTGGTGTTTCACATGCATCAGTAGGAGGTATAAAATATCATTTAGTTTAATCAATTGAGTTGATGATGTAAATCTGCCGCAGTAAAGAGTTTCTAAAGCTGACAGTTTGAGTGTTAGCCCTAATTCAGTGCAAATAAAGGATCTGTGGGTTGCATATGGTCTATATACATATACAGAAAGAGAAGCTATATATGCTGGTGGGATATGGTAATGTTAAAAAAACACAAAAACAAATTATTTGAAAAAAATAGTTGAATAAAGTCCATGTTATCAGAGACAGTGTATTCAAGTTTGGTTTATAGCTTTGGTAAGTCTAATTCAATCAATAAACCTCTCTCGTAATTTTTATTGTGAGTTGAAATGTTTGTTTTGATTATAATCCCAATACTTGTTTCACCCTTTGACCCCTGACTAGCATCCAATTTCTCCTTACAATATCACCACTGAATCACACATTTATGTCAGTAGAATAAAAGAAATGATCACCAACTTAAGAAGCTTTTGATTGCTGAGAGAATTCTCCTTGTCAGCACCTTAGGAAATGTATCAAAAACAGTACGGAGAATATGCACACTGATGTGAGGGTGTAAAATGTTAAGAAATAAATTATATACTTCTTGTCTTGGTGACATTAAAAGCAGATTGCCATGTGGGTGTTTAAATGGAAGATTCTAAACAGCCAGCTCTAATTAGAGAGATCATTATTGGATAAAAGCTAAGGGTCTTACACTTATTGTAAGTGATAATGAATTCAACTTCAACAGGAAATTTTGGTATTTTTGCAAATTAGTCACTAATGAGGGGTGTTTGCAGATACAACTTTGCATAATAAAACCGGTGAGTTTCGTACCTTAATCTCACTTGAGAACACAAGTCCATTTGAAGAAACATAAAATCCATTTCGGAGCTTTCCTGAACCACTATAAATAGGATGCTTATCATTCAGATCTTCTGAGGCATCCAATGCAGAACCTTTCCCAAACCTTGATTCTATCTCTGTTCCCAGGCTAAATAGATGTAAAAAGTTCCTTCGCCAAGTCACCTCAGTAGCTTGAATAGTTGTCTTTCGAAAGAAGCTGTTTTGCAAGCTTTCCCATAAATAAACACATTCCCTCTTTGCTAGACTTCCACAAGCACATTCAGATATAGTAGGATTGTTTCCCAAAGAAAGAGGTTTATCATTACAAACAAGTTTTGCCAAGCAAGGGACATTAACAAGTTCTTCAGGGTCCTTGCACTCTCTTTCATCTTTAAGTTCTTTATCGGGGAAAGTATTATCAATCACAGATTTAACTAGGTTGATATCAATTCTTGTAGGTTTTCTGTTAAGCTGATCATATTGCTTGAATGGAGACCACTGAAGGTTTGGCTGAAGAAACAAAATTTTGGTTAAAATAGTAAACAGAACAATCTTAACATACTGTACTTAAAACTCATTGACTGATAGGACATGCACTACTTAAAAGTGTTAGGTAATACAGAGTCACAGATCTCTAATTAGTGTGCTGATCATAATGATTTCTCCTTGACTTTCAAGGATCGGTTGTGCAATAACTTACAATCTATGTTGCAGCTTTCCTTATTTCTACTTTTAAACTAGAGAAACAAAAACACTTGACATTGGATAGTTCTTTCAACTTAACACATCAAAGATTTTAGCCTCCCTCTAGAAAAGCTATATCAATTGTGCCAAACGAAAACTATCAAAAAACTAAGGTAGCTCTGAACTACCAGTAAATGCAGAATTTTGTAACTTTTGAAGGAGGATCAATCTTGGTACACTGGATGCAATTCAGCAATAAAAAGGGGGTATCGATGAACTAAATTTTTAGGTACAGGATCATAAAGCCTAAATTAAGGGCATTTTGAAGAAGATGTAGTGTTGTTATGGTAACCCTGTAAGTCAAAGAAATAAGAAATAATAATTAGGTATTTTTTAGACACAATTTCTGAGGATACAAATGAAAAGTGTTAAAGCTGCAATGCATCAAGGAATTGGTGTTTAGAACAGACAAAACCATTTAGAGCCACTTTAATATATAGATTTAGCCAAGCCTAAAAGCAGAGCTCACATTTTTTTTTCCCGCACATCTCAAGGGCACAATGCCTTGCCCCGGCCAGGACTAGAACCTGGGTCATCTGACTTGGAGTCCAGTGCACTGACCACTGGACTACTGGACAAAGCCATGGCGTTGGCGTGCCCGCAGTACAGTTGACCACACATGTTAAAAGTAGCACCTTGTACAGTTATACAGTCGTACATCCAAATTTTTTTGGCTTGAAGGGTTACTACTATTTTGTATAATTATGGGGTTACGCTCTGCGAGCTCCACTATTATTTTAAGTGGTACAAGCCTCAAGTAATCTTGAATCAGAGTTGGATAGGATATTTACAGCCTGAGGGGAAGTCGTTATTTCAATGTTGTTTATCAAATCCTGTAAAACTAATCTGAGCAAGCATGGCCCTGGATAACTGAATATCACTGAAATTTTTGTTTACATCCCAAACCGTTTAAATATAATTACCTTCTTAATTTGACACCTTGGGATGACATTGTAATGAGAAAGTGAAAATTTCAGGCAAAATTTCGTTGTTGTGACAAAGAAGCCGGGTGAAGTTGTCTTCCGATGAAGTTTGGAGCAACCCTCTTTGCTACCACCTCCTGACATGGGATTTCCATTCTAAATTGCAGCTCTCTGTTGTTTACAGGCTGCTTTATTGTGGTTCGTAGATTGTCTTTCGAATGTGCTTTTCATATTAAACCCACCAGCTGTGAGAACTTGTGAGGTATTTATCATAATACGACATAAAATCATCTAAATCTAGCTCGATAACAATCAAAATAAGTGCAATAACTTTGGAAACAAATTCATTTGTCAAGGCTATTGTCAAAATGTTATGCATAGTTAATCAAAGTACTCACTTCGGATTCACCCTTTTTGTCATTGCCCTCGAAGCCATTATCTTCATCGATGATGCTCATTTAACTGGCTAACCTCCTCTTTTGACCTCTTTTACATCGTGTCCAACGATGGAAAATTAAGACCCTTCACAAAAGTCTCACAAGTAATCGGTTTCGAATGGAAATAACTTGACACCTTCACCGGTCACCTCGGTCACCTAATCATACCCCTCTGCGCCTGCAAAGCACACCTCCTCCTTCAGCGGTCACGCACGTTTCGCACAGACTACCGGGTATCGGTACTTAGTCGCCATTTTGGATTACTTGAGTAGCGGTAGTTCTGCGAGATGCTCCGTTGTGTTGCTAGCCGCCTTGTGGTTCCCTCCATGAGAGGTGCTGCCTCGATGCTGGGTAAGGTTCCTTCATGACTCTAGAATTTGCGAGGAAAGCTAAGAGAATGGGCAACACTAATCGACGCAGTAATTCCAGAATACTCAACATAGTCCGATTCTTGACTTCTCATTCTAGTAGTGTTGAATTTTACGATACAGGACTTCAAGCGTCTAAAGATGTACGAGGTTTCTGAATAACTGACTTATATTCAAATTAGGGTCATATTTTCAGGAGCGGTAGCAACTTAAGTTTTGAGATTACAGGTTTGCGACGAAGAAGGATATTGGGTTTCCTGCGTGAATTTTTCAAGAAAGTGAATTTTTACTGAAAATGACATGCTGCAATTGATATTAAAACAATTTGCTTAAAACCAGGTGTTACATCGCGAATGATGAGCAGCAAACCTAAAGAATCAGATGAAGCGTTTGACAACCGGTGGCACGCTTACTTTTCAAGGCAGGTTTTTTTCTTCAAGTTCACAGTTCAATTTGCATTGTCTTACTTGTACATGAACAATATGTAAACATTGTTTTAAACAACATTTTAAAAGGAGTAGTTTGAAAATTATTTCTCGACAAATTTTCGTGTTATATTGTCTCAGTTACCAATTTGATTCCAGGAAAATCTTTAAGTGGAAAATTAGTACTTCTTGTGTACAATAAACAGTTGGAAGGCCACTTGGTAAGATTTCCACACCGCCCTATACTTCATTTAATGAGCAGTTCTTTGATTAATAAAAGAAAAAGTGAAAGGAATCAGTTGCCTTCAGGACTGCTGATTTGTTTTACAATGGTATAGGGTTGTGCTGAAATCATAAAGGTCATGTTCCTCCACCTGCTGAACATGTTTTCTTTTTTTTGCCTGAAATGTTCTTTTAGATAACCTTATTATGATTACTAAAACTTTTATGGTACATTAAATTGTTGTTATGCATGCATCTCATTGGAGCTGTTTTATATGAAAATTGAAAAAAAGATACAAAAAAAGATTTGTGCAAAATTACTATTAAAGAGAAAGGTTAACAATTGTACTTAGTGTTCAATCCTTTAAATCCACTTGAAATTTTTGGATCAATATCAGTATCTAGGCAACTGCCTACCTACCCCTCCCCTAACCCAACGTTAACCCTAACTTGTTATCAATTGACTGTTGTTGGGTTAGGGGAGGGGTAGGTGGGCAGTTGCCCAGATGCTGATATTAATCCAAATTTTTTTAGTTTGTTTAATATTTAAAACTTCAAAGTTCTTGCTGGGATTAATGATGTGATGTTTTGCTGAGGAATTTGAAATTCATTTCTTTTTAATTATATTTGTCTATTAGACCAGACCTTGATGCTTGGGAGTTGCGTAAAGGACTGAATGAAATCTATGGACATGACTTGGTTCCAGAACCCAAGATCATTATTGCAATGCTCCATGCCTGCCGTCGACTTAATGACTTTCCCATGACTGTCAGGGTTCTTGAAGCAGTTTACGATAAAGGTGCTGGAAGCAATGAAATCTATAACTACATTCTGGGTGAAATCAAACCCACCATGGAAGAATTAGGACTTTCCACCCCTGAAGAGCTTGGTTTGGCCAAATGATGCCAATTGCAAGGTATACTTAATGGTTTTATATTGTTGGTTTTGTTTGTTTTTGCAGTTTCTAGCACAGTGTTGGGAAGCAGTTTGCCTCCTGCAATTTTTAACCTGCATGGTGCAATAAAGGCATTCACAGTTTTCTGTTTTTCCAAAGCAAAGGGGTCAGAGGATGGAAGCTCATGTAGATTTTAAAATTGACCTGTAGACTTTCCCTTGATTTGTTAAAATTGGTAACTGTTGTCACTTGGGTTTTTATACATTTTATGTAGATATAATATGACAAAGATCATGCTAAAAAAGTTGCCTTTCACAACTGCGCATTAAGGAAGAGCTGGAAATAGATTGGTGAGGGTTAAAGGAATGTCAGAGGATATTCATGGCCAAGTCCTATTTTTTCATGATGTTATAGTTTTAGTTCTTGAAAGCAAAAGGTCAAAGTGGGATGTACAACAAAAACTGCTTGTGTAAGTAGTGTTAAAACCCATCTTTGAGCACAGCTTGCTTCCTACCAGTTGTTCCCCATAACAGGGTTAAGGAGGAAAATATTTAAAAGATGGTGGTCATTTGGTTTAAGGGTTTGTGGCTTCTTTCATGAACTTAACTAAAACTTTATTTAAATAATCACCCTTGGATTTAACTTCTAGGTTCTCTGCATGCATTTATGATTCCCAAACGTTGTTAAAACTTTGTTTAGATAATCAGCCCTTATTGTTACACACAATTGCATAATGATTTTTAAAGAAAATTCCAGGTTACTTTGTAGTGCAGTGTGTGTAGTTTTTTTTGTTTATGTTACATAATAATTTGCAGCTTGTGTTCACTGCACTTGAAGATAACAAATTTTGTCAATTAGATATGAGAAAATTTGATTGTTCTTATCTTCCTCCAGATACATGTATTTGTAACTGCTACAAATTTCACTCCTTTTATTTCCAATTTGAGCTATGAGTAATCCTTTCATTTCTTGTATATTTCAGATCTTGTGTTTGAAGTGGTGCTAGATGCACATACTGACTTTGATGAGAAGTTTTTGAACTGGATTATCTCGTATTGTGTTATAAAATTTTGACATGACATTAAACTTGGCTATGTAATTTTGAAATTTTTGCATCACTTGGTGACTCAATACTTTTTTTCTTAAATAGGGTTTGATGTAAACTGTGATAAGACCACCTAGGGTGTATGTAGATTAAATGTACAATGGAACAACTTTCTTGTCAGAGTGATTTTGGAAGATGGTTGGTTTAATATTAATAACCCATGACAATAATCATAAAATTCTTTAGTCACAAAGGTTGATAAAGAGTCCCTAGATGAGATGGCCCCAATGACCCGCAGTGATTGACTGATTTTTCACACACCTTGTCACTTCAATCAGTTTTGTGCAATTTGCCTTACCTACCCTGTGATTGGATACAACAAGAGAAGGGGGTGGTCTTTGGACAGTATAAACTCTTGGTAGCTTAAAAATGTTAATGATTATTGAAAAGCTCTCATTACAGGGGACTTTTGCCCCATGGAGGCTTCTTGAGTTTGTGAAATTCCCACTAACACGGGGACAGGCAAAAACAACAGGTTTTTTCCCAAAACTTGGTACAATTACACCATTTCTTCTTAACCATTAACTCCCATGAGTGATCAAGACATAATTTTTCCTTGCAATATCAATACAACAAAGAGACAAAAGTGATGAGAATTGAGAAAAATGTCAATTAAGGGAATATTTGTTGATCTGATTACAAATTCTCTGAACTTATTTCATAAGAATTGTATGGTAGACAAAAAGGAGAATTACTAATGAGATCATGGGAGTGAAATGGTAAAATCATACTTCCAAAACAAGGTGATATTGTGGAGCCCTATTACAGAAACTTAAAATAATGCAGCAGTAGAGGAGAAAAGAACATGAATATTCAACAATTTCATTCTTTGTAGTTTCCTTGTTTGTAATGGCAAATGATCAGAATGATTGCTCATTCTGTTGAACCATTGAGTGCCTTCACATTCAGTTTCAAATTCATGCGAGTACATGAATATATGAAGAGGGAGAGAAATTTACAAAGGTGTTGAGGATATTTACCACTCATCTAACGTTACGTATTCAAGTGTGCAAAGGTGTATCTAAGGAGGGTAGTAGGGAGCATATGACACCCTATACCCTTTTTCGAATAAAAAAAAAGAGACCATTTCAGAAGATTAACACATGGCATGCTAATGGTTCCTGTAAGGTGTTAGTGTAGAACCTCCAATCCCATCCCCTCTGAAAATGAAAAATCCCATTCATACCTTCATGAGTATCACTGTATTTATTTTGGTAAGAGTGTTTTTATTGATATTAGCATAACACCCATTTTAGACGAGTCAGTGACAATTGTGAAGGTACAACAACTCAGTTGATAAAGCTGGCATTAGGTTTACAATATGATTTTTAGGCTGTCTGGCTAAACTCAATACCATAACTGGCTTATTTTGTTAGTCTCTAACATAACCGCCGCTGAAAAAAGGAGACATTTGGAATGTTCTCACAATGGTGGAGCTTTTAAAGGATTCATTGGCTTCGCCTCGGATGAACGGGATCTCTCTTCCACTGGAAAAAAAAAAAAAAAAATAAGAGCACTTGGCGTTAATCAGAGAAAAACCTTGCACGAGAAGTTCATACTTTCCCGAATTCGTTCAACAAGAGGCAGATCACAAAGCAGTCGGATGGTTTTCCCATTTATTTGAATTTTGTAACTTAAACGTCGTATAGTGCCCTTTGTGCTTAGTCTGTCACTTTCTGAATTGATGGTGTTAAAAAAACAGTATTAAGACCTAAAGCTACCTGGGATCCAGGTCTCCAAACTTCCATCTTCACTTTCTCCTCCAGCATTTCCATCGCCGCTTCCGCTACCAGCCTCAGTTGAGGGAGTCGACGATGTAAGGTCACCAGACTCCTCTTGATCTACCCCAGCTCCCCTGGAGGCTGAAGATGACCTTTCACCCTCCCCACTTCCGCTTCCAGTCTCCTGATCAATTCCCGGCCCGTCTGTTTTGTGAGAAGTTGGCTTGGTAGGTGACACATCGCCCGATCCAGATCCAACTTCTGATTCCGCCTCCCCCGAGCCAGATTCTCCGTCAGGTCCTGATCCCGAACCGGAACCTGCTTCGATTGTTTTCTCATTCTTGACCTTTTTATCTGATGAGGGGATAAAGCAGTTTGCAGCTTTTCACGTCATTACTTATTAAAATGTTCGAAGAAACATCTTCTGATACATTCTAAAGTCGTGTATCAATTATGTATGGACGATAAAACAAAACAAAACAAGAAATGTTGAAATCGCTACGATGCAGGTTCAGTTCGCCAAAAAACGCGTGAATGCGAAGAATCTACTGGTTGCGAACCTGCTGGTACACGAAATTAAAAAGTGGTTTAGGATACTTTATGTAAGGGCGCAGAAATTCGAACCTGCTCCCCCCTTCTTGAAGAAGCGCAATTACGTCCTTACACGCCTCTCGTAAGAAGCTCGCGCTCCTTTCTCCAAGAGCGGCTGGTGATCGAGTCTACTAGTCTGTTCCATGGCGACCACACCCATCGGTAAGATGTGACAGAAAGTGCTCATAAACTTTTCATGTGAGTCAACTGTTTTAACTACTCTACAATTTAAAGTTTTTGGCACTTGACTACCTTGAACACATTTGTCTCCTTCTTTGTGAGATCCTTGAGTACATATACAGTCATACTTCACTGCGGTACAAACTCCTCCACCCCTACAACCACGAGCGCACTTACTATCTGTGGGGAAACGTATGAGACCCTTAGTTTAAAAACAAACAAAACATTTAAAACATTTTTCTCACGTAAGGTCCAACTATATATATAAGTTGAGGAAAATCTTGGAATCTTTTAGTAATGGCTGCAGTAATCAGCATTTTTAATTTGTAAAGCCGTGAATTGGTTTGCGAAAGTTAATTTCACAGAGTTTTGCCACGACACACAGATAAATCTTACTTCCTATGGAGGCAGGGGAGTGAACAGCGAAATGTGAATCTTAACTTTATTTCTAGCTCCCAGATAACCAGAGATGTTAGATGACAAAGTTTTCCCTAAACGAAAGAATGCGGCTTTAAATTCGAAGATACAGAATTGGGGACGAAAAAGTTAAAGGTCATGGGTAGGTGGAGATCCCCGGTTCCGAGATTGCAGGGGATGGAAAATATCAAGAATGAAGATTTCAGGGAGTTGGAAGTACGTGCGAAATGAGGAGGATTGAATATACTCGAATAAGATACTACGGAATTCCCGAGCGGGTGGGCTCCGTACAGCAAAAGAAAATAAACACTCACTTGTTTCAACGTAAAGGCTGACATCATAAGATATTTTCCCCAACTTGTTCTCAGCGGCACATGTGAATTTCCCCTCGTCCTCCATGCGAGGATCAAATATTATAAGAGACCCCTCCCTCGTGATGTGGAACCTCTTTCCCACGAGCACCAGGGAGCCTTCCAAGGTAACTTGGAAGCCTGACTCCTCAGGGCTACCCTTAATCAACAAACCATCTTTGTACCAATTGATTTCAGGTGTTGGTGTTCCCTTCGCTCGGCATTTTAGCACCACTGGTTTTAGCGGCTCCGTGGCGTCAACTGCTGACGGATACACGGTAAACTGGGGACGAACTGTGAACAAGTCAAAGTGCTATTTTTTTAAAGACCGCTGGGGGTCGATAGGGCACCAAAGAAAGAAGACGAGCGAGTGACAAAAGGGGCCAGAGATAGCATGTGGGAAAACTTCATTTACTTAATGATGAAGGAAAGTAAAAGAGAGTAACAGCAATTGGCAAATAAAAGCATTACAATTACACTTACAGAATTTTATTGTATTATAATCTTACCTCCATTGATAACCGTAGCGTAACTGGCTCCTAATCCAGCCTCGTTCTGAGCAACGCAGACGTACTCCCCCAAGTCCTCCTCGGCCAAGCCGTAGACCGTCAGTAGACCGAGGGGGTTAGGGACACGATACTGATCAGCTTCCAGTTTAACACCCCTCAACATCCAGTGATATGTGGCGCCCATATTTGCATGGCAATGAATTTCAACATTTTGTCCGAGAATGGCGAGGATTTGCTTCGGGTACACTGCAACTTTGAAAGTACCTGCAAAATAATTAATGGCACTCAGACTCATGCAACTTACTTTATTTTCAGCTTACTATTTGGTTAATACACGATGACCTGACCAGGTCATATGTTGTCACTTGATTCTCGCCGTGCCTCTCTCCAGTCTCCACCCAGGAGAAAAAAAGAGTACCGGAAAACTGTCAGGAAAAACCTGACGCGGGGAGGGGTGGGGGAAGGGGGTAAGAGAGTAACCTACGGTGGGTTAACAGCATCCTATTTTAGGGAAATGGCAACACCCCTAATCGCATCATGTTTTGGAAACCGGGAGAAGCCCCGGCCAAGTGAGCCACGTGGCTCCATATATATGATGAGTTTGATTTAATTGCTAGCAACTTTAGAAGTTACTATTGTTCACTAAGGTGAAACAGCGACAGCCTTTTTCCATCGCGATAGGCTAGATTGTTTCACAGAAAGTTCTTCGCAAAATAAACTCGTTCCAAATTTAGAGACTTTTCAATTGAAATACCCGTGTGTTGTATGTATGATAGATAGCCTGTGTTTATTCCTTAGCTATGGGCACTCACCGCATACGAAGTCGCTATCCCTCAGTTTTGTCACCGTGGCCCCCGTCAAGTGGGCGGGAGTGGCACACGTAATGTCATCTAATTTTCTTTCAAGTAACCAGGCCTTCAACCAACGTGCGTTGCAATCACAGTGGAGACCACTCCCTCTCGTCTTAGCCGCACTGGGTTTCAGAGACACGCGGTAAGCCTCTGGGACATCCCACAACCTAATGGGTAAAACAGACATTGGCTATCATCGATGATACATGGGTGGAAAAACTCTAACCAGTGTGGGATCAACAAGAAGGTGGGAATTGGAGATGAGTTCCGTAAGAACAAGGGAATATTGTACATGATCGGTTCTTTTGTTTAAACAATCACGTAAGAAGCGCAAATACCTGGGGCTCTTTAAGCGTTTCATTGAATAAGACTCCCTCTTAAACTCCCAACCTTATATAAATAAGTGAGCGGGAATTAATATCGACATGATTAATTTGTTTCCTGAATTTTGACATTCTTGAGGCGTGTTCTTAAAAAAAAACTTATTGTCAAGGGCAAATATAAAAAGACTTTTAAGTATATCGTTCTTTAGACTAAAGGACAGAGTTCATAACTAGATAAATCATACTTACAGTCTTGTTATTCTCTTGAAATGATCGAATGTTCCTTTACCGACATACGAAATATTGTTGAAGTAAAGATGTCTAAGCGGAGAGGAAAACAAAAATATCTTACAAAGACAAGGAATCTACCGCTAAGGCAATGTTTACTTTTCATAATTTTTAAAGGTGGGTTGGGCTTGTGTAGCTTCCTACGCAAGCGTTACTTTTCTTGAAACGAGGGATGGCGTGATGAGATCAAGAGGGGCGTGCAAAGTTGGTTGGGAAGGTTACGTCACAGTTAATTATAGGACATGACTTTGTGCCTTGAATTCTAAATCCATTTAGTACCTCTAAGCCAGTGAGGAAAATTCTCGTTTAATCAAGCGAGTAAAATGGGTCTAAATTGTTCAGACTCCAAACTGAGGGGAGACTGCGAAGAAACTCAATCTCGATTCCAGTGCTTTCTACTATTGCGCATGACTGGCCCTTTGGACCAAGTACAGTGAAACCGGGGGTCTGGGTGCGAGAATGGAAGAGGCAAATCTAATTAAGTCGCTTAGCGGCGGATTTGAACATGGGATCTTAAGACTTTCAGTCCAGCGACAAAAACTATTGGGTTCTACTGCTGCCGATCTACCGCATCTTCAGGGAATTCCCTCAAGGCCTCAATCGAGGCATCCCTTTACTTTTACAGCTGTTTCAGGTGCTTCCTGACAAGAAATGCAGGGCACCCCTTGGGATGGAAGGGGGGGAGAGGAAGCACCAAGTACACTTACATATCTTTGAGATTTGAAAGGCCATAAAATGTCTTGTGATTAAGAAGAGTGAGACGATTTGCATCGAGATTTCTAGAAAAGAATAAAGTAGAAGTGTGAAATTCTTTTACTCTCTTAAACTGAAAAAAAGGAAAAATACATTTTTGGTTCTGTGAGAAAAATTAGAGGACAAGTCTTGAACAAAATTCCGTTATATTCCCGTTCTGCGTTCATTTTTCTACTATATTGTGATTTAAATTGTGATTAAATCTCTTTCCTTGCCAATCTTCGCCAAAGGAACGACCCTGAAGAGGCTGATTCGTGGTCCTGTCTGTATCCATTAGGATGAGGACATTCCTTACACCGTCACAAAATTGAGTGGATGTAAATAATGGCGGAAATCTTTCATCTGCACAATACCTTAACTTACAAGTATTTATTTCTAATATGAAAGAACTTATCATAGGGAAGTCTGTCACACAGTAATTGTGGTCAAATCAAAGACAAAAGAAAAGCAAACAGAGACATGGAACAAAACAATATTTAAAAACAACAACAACACCCAATAATTGAGTTGCCTTCTAAACTTACAACACGTTCAGACGTCCAAGATGGCGGAATGCTTCGTCTGCGACGTAGGAGATGGTGTTGATACCAAGGTGGCTGCAGAAAAAAAAAGGAAACGACAACCTCAGATCAGACTGACTGTTTGCCATCTGGAAAAGTGCTTTGTCATGTTTTTACCAAAAAATAAATGTATTCTCCTTAGAAAATTAGGTTCTAAGCCAGTGCAACTTAAATTGGAGGAGTACATTTATTTAACAAATTGTGTAAAGTCCACCCATGAAATATCATCTGAAACGTCTCATAATAGTTTTCCTTTCTGATTCTTTCTACACCTGACTTCAGTCCGCGAAATATTCAACTCGACTGGAAAAATATCACAATCTAATCATTCCCATGAAGGGCAATCTTACTTGTCAATCCTACGCGGCCCCCTAAGTTCTTAAAGTCGTCATTCTTCATGTAAGATCGGTTTCGTGTACTTTTTTACTATTATAGAAATGTTTAATTCGTAAGAAGGTCACAAAGTACAATTAAAACGTCGAATGAAACAAACAATTATTCGACTTACAGGACACTCAGATGTCTCAGATCCTCAAACATGTTGTCAGGAATAACGGAGAGGAGATTGGAGTACAGATACCTGGGAAACAAAATTCATTACACTTCATTTGGAGGGTGTCAAAATATCACTAAGTTTTCCAAACTCTACCAAACCCTCTTTTAAGCATATTAACCACACCCTTGGAATTAACTAAATCTCGAAAATAATCCGGGACTGCATAGATTGTGCTTAACTTCATTCTGTGATTGGTCAAAAAAAACTCGCGCCACTCTCTCAACCAGTCAGATGCAAAACTAAAACCAACCACGACATGGTCGCCCGCGTTTTCCCGCGCTTTAGGCAGTTTGGTTGTAGTTACTTTGAATTCCCAGTGACTCTTCTGGTTGGTCGTTGTGATAACTTTGGTTTGGTTTTATGACACTCAATCGAAAAGAGCTCTTTACTATGGTTCAGATTCAAATACAAACTGGCAAATCCAAAACTCTTAATATCGAAAAAGTCAAACAAAATTTCTGAGAACCAAACAGTAACGTTGATTCGATTTGTCGGCGCATACTTAGGTTTGGTCCCAAATGTTTGAACACGTCGCAAAGGACGACCTTCGAAAGAGACTGACCATTCAAATTTGTTCTACCGCGGAATGTGACAGAACTTCGTGTTTGAGCGCGATGCAATACCTGAAGTTAAATTGAGCGAAGTACTTACAATAATCGTAATTTCTTGGTGGCTGAGAAAGACCATGGCTCAATTTTAGAGATTCGGTTTCGTTGTAGATAGCTATGGAAGAAAATATAATCGCGAGTTAGTGATAGCTAGTCACTAAAAATACTGGCGCTGAGGCACAAAAATCGAAACCGAAAAAAAAATGCATACGAAAGAAAAAAATTATTGAAAGAGATTTTGCCAAAAAGACCTCTTGATAAAATTTTGACGGAATAAATGGTTCAACCTTGAGAATTTTCCTCCACGGTCTATCTTTCGCCTTACTCAAGTTTGAAAAGTTTCCGTTTTAAAGAGAAATTTTTTCATATCATTTAGCTGATCATTTGGTGTTCATGACTTACAGTTCCTCGAGGTTCTCAAGTCCAACAATAGTTTTCTGAAGAATTGCGGAAATCTTGTTGTCAAAAAGTGACCTACGGAAATTAAAAGAAAGTCGTGGTGTCTTAACGCTGCGATAGCTCAGTACAATTCTACATGATGGTATAAGAAAATACACCACACTATCAGCCTCTCAGTGTTTCTTTGGAACAATTATTTTATCGATGTCAAAAGAAAATCTTAACTCATTGACCCCTTGGAGTGACAAACATCTAAATTCTCCTTTCAATATCAATCCTGAATCAAACATTAAGGTCGCAAAAATAAAAGAAATGATCACCAACTAAACAAGCCCTTGATTGTTAAACAAATTCTCCTTGTCAGCACCTTAGTAAATGTATAGAGAACAGTATGGAGAATGCACATACTGATGTTAGGGTGTCAATCATTTTCTGAAACTCATTAAGTAGTTTCGATATCCCAACTCTCACCACAGAGCCGAAGTACTTACAGAATTTTGAGATACAGCAGTCGTGAAAAGGCACCATTTTCAATGACTGAAATCTGATTTCTAAAAAGGTATCTGCAAGATTGGGGAGAGAACCAAGGAATTAGCAACAAGGTTATGTCAATTTAAATCGTAGCCACTCATACTCTTTTTTGAGACATTGGAGAAGTAGCTTTGGTGTAAAGGGTTATAAGAGAAACTTCAAATTCTTGGCAAGACTTCTTCTTGCTTTTTGAAAAACTTTCTCGCTATTAGGAGGAGACCTCCATCTTGTCAAACCCGAACGTGATTGATTAGTAAAGTTAAGATTGTATGGCTTACAGTGAAGTAAGAGAGTAGACATCAGCAAAGAGGTACGCTCCAATCTTTGTAATCTGGTTTTGGCTTAGGGACCTAAAAAGGAATTTGGCAGTTAGAATAACAAATACTGAGTAAAAACATTTGACATTACAGGTCGACCAAGTAATCAACATTAAGAATTATTTTTTCGGATTACAAGTTTATTGAGGAACATTTCCTACTTTCTCAAGTAGTTTGCAGTTGTTGGGGGGAGGGGGGAGAGGGAGTCAGGGGTTCCCCCGTCAGCTTACCCTAAAGACCCTGCCTTAGAGGCTTCTTTCTTTCCCTGACTCCAAAAAGACCATCACATCTTCATGATGAAGTGAATATGGAATTAATTGAATACGCGAATGATTTTGTCCAAAATAATAGCTTCTTAGACTACTAGTTTAGCATTTAGATATCGATAAAGCACGTTCACTTAGGTTATCGCTACAAAGCCCCTCGAAAACATGGTGGTTAAGGACAAAAGTTTTTGCGCCCGCGGTGGTCTTTCCATTTTCAGCGGTTTAATATTACTACGCGAAGAAATTCCCGGATCACCTCACTAACTGCAAAAACTCGTTCAGTTATCATGAAACTCGCTTGTTAAAAGACACATTACGTCGATTCTTTATCATAATACTCTCGACCATGACTTTCTTTATCAATGGCTGGGTCGGTAATATACTTACAATGATCTAAGACGATGTAGACCAAGAAATGCCCCATCTTCTATAGAACCGATCAAATTTGCACTCAGATCCCTTCAACAAAAAGAGAGTAAACGATTTTTGTTCTGACAGGTTCACAAAAGTAGATTGAAAGAGGAAGTGACCCGTAATATTACCAAGATAAATACCTATCATGTTTTCATAACCAAAATTAATCTCAAATATTATTTATGAGATATCTATACTGAAAGCAATCATTATCCCAGAGGCACAGTTCCAAGCCACGTCGCAGCCTGAAATTCTCTCAGGAATTGTTTTCTCTTGTTACTTGAATTATAATCTTCACTGAATTCTAGGTAAAAAACTGTGTTGACATTAGCCTAAATATAGCGTCTTCGTGCGAATGCCATGTTAACTAGCTTCATAGAACGATAACAATAATATGTCGCATGAATAAGTAAAAAAACAACAGAAGCGGTGACATGAATGAAGGCTCAACAAGCTCACTTACAATGCATCCAGTTGATTCAGTCCATCAAACGCAGCATACTGAAGGGTAGTAAGCTTGTTCTTAGCAAGATTCCTTTGCGATGGTAAAAATTAAGGTATTTCAATCTGCTTTCACTGTAATATCAGGTTGTTCATAACAGAGCACAATGAAATTCACTCAACAAAAAACCATCTTAAAAGCATTTAACAACGATTACAAATTCATGTTATAGTTCAGAAATATTTTAAAGCGGTATCAAAAATTCTAGAAGAGAAATTGAATTTGGCAATTCAATCTAATTTAAAGAGACACTATCTTATTGGTTCACGTGATTATTATGCAATCAGTTATTATCTTACCAACCAAAAACAAACTTCATCAGTATGCCTTACTTACAAAGTTTGAAGTCTTGAACAATTTCTGAATGCTCCGAAGGCCAGTTCTTCGATACGATTGTTCTGCAAATACCTGGTGGGGAAAAAAGACGGTAATACGCAGGGCGAAAAAGTTTGAGTGGATCACTCAAATCTAGGCCCATTATTCGAGTCACAGGTCACACCGGTCCGATCATTTTCTAACTAACACCTGAGGGGTAAGCTGTTTTGTGTATCACTTTATGCGCATAATATCGAACGTTCATTCTATTACAAGAAAAACGTTTTTAAAAAGTGTCGCCTTCCTTTTTCATATGAGTTACCTAATAGAAAAAACCAGTGCACCCAAGAAACCTCTTATTTATGTACAATAATTCATGTACAATGATTTATGTACAATGATTTATCTACTATGATTCGTAATCTTCAGACAACTTACAAAGTTTGAAGAGAAGGAAGATATCCCAAGGAAGTTGTTGCAATCTTTTTTATTCGATTCCCTTCGAGATGCCTGAGTAGAAATCAATTAACAGGAAAATTAGATCAACTTCGAAACTTGATGATTGTGAAAAAAGTTATCGACCTTCTCTGTCCATTGTCCAGTTTTTAAGTGCGTCGCCCAATGAAAGACAAATGAGATCTTGGCGCGATCTCGCCGTGGTCGCTCGGCTGAACCTTGGCAAGAAGTTGGGGGAATCACGGAGCAATCAATGCGCGCACGAGATTGTCAAGCTAAACTTTGTTTATCACAATCATCATATGTCTAGAATGCATATATCTTGGCGCGATCTCGCCAAGAACGTTTAAGATGTTTGCAGAATCATGGCGCGATCTAACAGCGGGTGAGCGTTGCGTTACAAGATGTTTGCAAGACGTCACGCAATGCTTACCCAGAGTTGTGCGCGTTGCGTAATAACATGAGAACGAGCTTAATCACCCACAGACACTTACAAGATCCTTAGATAGATCATTCCGGAGAAGTGCCATCCTTCCAGCTTGGATATTCTGTTGTTCTGTAGTAGCCTGGTGTATGTCAGAAAATAGAATATAGCTGCTTAATTTAGAAACCGTTCAGCCTTGTTCTTACGACAGTGCTAATGAACACTATTTGTTTCGTGACAGTCCCTAAATTGGATGAGGTTGTTACATGAAATCTCCAAAATAGCTTCAAATTATAACGAGCCTTGTCAGCCAGAGTCCACGCACACGCCTGAGCTCTTTGTGTTATCTTAACATGGTTTGTACAAATTCTTCATAATCGTTCGCTAAGTGCTGCCTTTTTTTTTTTTTAAGAGTACTGGTTATGTTATAAATTTTTTAGGGGAAACATGTCTCGACCTTTTGACGATACCAAACAATTGCGAAGGAGAACTACTAACAGTGCAGCATCCTACCAAAATCAGCGTGAAGCTGGCGGTTTTATTTTTATCTCGTAACAAAACAAATTGCTGCAAGTTTGTTTAATTTTTATCATACCAGAGACTTAACGGGAAATTGATACTTTGGTTTTTCAGGATGTGGGTTGTTTCCTTTGATAGGGATGAATGTAGAAAGAAAGTGCTTTACTTTGATGATATCCCTTATCCCACACAACAAATTGCCAATCGATAGCGACTGATCAACCGTCTTGATTAAAATCTTGTACTCCTTTCTCTCGATCTTTTCCAATCTAACCTCGAGATGTTTCCATTCTTGATAAACATCGATTTTACACTGCATGGTAGATGGCTTTGTATTTGAATTCCAGTCTCGACGAAATTGAGTCCGAACAATCAATAAAGTTGGAAACTTCGCGAACAAAATTGACGCTAAAGATTTTGTAATTGGATTGGCTAATGATCGATTTGCTAATTGTCTTAATTCGCAACGTCTGAACTGCTGTCATCATGTTTTGTTATTTTCCTTTGATAGCCAGAGAGAACAGCATTACAAAGGAACCTTTTGTCATGTAATAATTTATTGTTTCTAAATATACACGAATCCTTTTGTTTGTTAATAGATCTCTTCATCGATGATATTCATTTAGACTCCTTATACACGCAGCTGCACTCGTGACAACAGATTGAGTAATTAACTAATTGATCAAACTCTGTTTACCTGATTACTCAATCATGCAAACTAATTAAGGCATCCATTTTGCGAACGTGCTCTGATATTTCGCCTTTTTACGTAAACCTTTCATGACGAACACTGCAGTACAGAAACATTGACGCATTTACTTACAATGTCGTAGTGACATGTGGAAGGGGCCGAGGAAACTTCTTCAGTCTTCTCCCTGAGCAGTTCACTTTCACTCCATAGCCTTGCGTTTCGGGAAAAAATTGTTCCTCGCAGAAGCACTGCTTTGGACATGATGTTATAACCTGACTCAGGCCTATGCCACAGAAAACGACGACGACAAACACAATTATTAGGGAATTCATAGCCTCGATAATTTCCTGTCTAATCCTCGGCACAGCGCTCTCGAGATAACAATGAAGATCTGTACCAATTTATCCCGTGGAAATCGGTTCTGTTTCAATTCTGCCCAGTGTAGCGTCGCCCCAAAGCTGTGACGGACTTTAGAAAACAAAGATGTCATTCATTTACTCAAATGGTTATGATTTATTTTCCAGCGTTTGCCTGCTGGGGATTCTTAACCCTTTGCTTCCCTAACACATGATAAGCGGAGATCGTGTTTCACTTATTGACAGCATGACAATGGACGAAAAACGGTTACAAGAAAAAAGCTCCTTAAAAAACAAGGGGAAAAAACAGATAAGAAAGAGATAACGATGAAAAAAAGAATTTTCACCAGTTTTCTGAAGAAGTGCTCTCACTGCATAGAATGTACAGCTCCTAAAAACCAGTCTTTATGGATGTCAGGAAACTAAGTTATGTTCGTTTCGAGCGTTCAAATTCTTTAAAAATGTCCTGTTTAAATTAACCTAAGAGGCGTCTCTTGCGGTCAGGGTTGAAATGCGATTTTCTGCGTATACGCACAACAAACCTGGAACGAGGTATGTCTTCTTGTCAATAATTCCACTTTTCGCGTTTTCTTTTATTTCTTCTCTGTGTTTCTTGTTATTAGTTTTTTTTTACCTGACATGTAACCCAGTCTTGATCCCTATTTCCCCCCAATCATTTTCTTGATCACGTCATAGCAATCTGATCTTACTACCAAATAAATACCTTCCAAGGGCACTCCCATCTATGGGAGCCTAGTCGTCGTCATATTTTATAACACAACGGTTTCTGCATTTGTAAATGTCACGCAAAGGGCGTAGAATGATCTTAGGTACCATGTTTAGCTGGTGTATTCAAGCTGAATAAATATTAACTCCTCGCAACAGCCCATTGAAGTTTACTTACATTCCGGTTGCTCCGGGGTGAATTACTTGGGTCACTTTTTGTTGTGTATGTGCCTTGGTCTTTCAGCACTCCTGACCTTTTACAGTCCATTCAACGGCCAATTTATACCCCATCATAATCAATTTTGGCTTTGGGAAAATTTCATTTTTGGCGATGCATCTACCTTGTAGAGCCTTCTAAGTAGGTCATCTTTAAATTCATTGACACATTTCTTAAACTGAATGCAGAACACTTCACTTTCCAGG